GCCCCCCGCGCGCGCGGCGAGGCCCCGCCCCCTCCCTCTCTGAGGCGCCTGGCGGCGAGCTCCCCGGGCGGCCGGATGTCGCTGTTAGAGGCTTTTCGGTGGGGTTTTTTTGCATTTATGCTGCCGTATTGTAAAGGGTGAAATGTTAGAACTGTGGAAAAGCTTTCGCGAGGCTGAAGTCGCGACCTGGCGCCCGACATGTCGGCGGCGCCTGTCAGAGCGCCCGCCGGGGCCCGCGGCTGCTCTCCTGAGGGGCAGAGCCTTCCCGGGGTGGCTTTTTCACCTTTTTGGGCAACTCTTGTCAAATTTGAAAATCAGAGGTGTGGGAGACGCGTAAAGGAAGCTGCTCAGTGAGCCCCCGGTTCTGTGATCGCTTCACATCGGTGCCTTCGTTTATGTGGAGCACGTTTGTTGACCTGTCATGTTTTTAGGCTCTGGAGTGTTGCTAGATGTCTAATTTTTATTACCTTAATATCTTTATGCTCTAATGGGGACAAGAACACCACTGTTCCATGGGATCACATAAAGGGAGCTTTCCATCCTTAACTGTCTTGGAGTCTGTTTAATGAACTGGCAACACACCTTGGTCTGGTTTATTCACAGAAGAGGTTGGGAGGAGATGAAACGGAGCAGGGTTGGCTCTGTGAGGCTGGTGCTCAGTTCTACAAAGTGATTCTTTTCTTGGTAAAATTCTGTGGCCTTTTGGTGCTCTGTGTGGGCTGGAGAGGTGTCACCCAGAGCTCGCTGCCAGCCCAGCCGTGGGGAGGTTCGTTAGCATATACACAGGGAGGTGCACCTAACTATCGAGGAATTAGCAGGTAGAAATTATGTTGACAGTTGTACTGGAAATAATAGGTCTTACCCTTTAAATGGCACCGTGTGTCAGAAGTTACAGATGACTTTCACTGCCATAGTGAGTTATTTTGATGGTGCTATTCTAAAAATAAGTCAATGAGTGTTCTTGCTTTTGTAGACAGTCTTTGCGTGGGGAGCTGTGGTGTTTAACTCCTGATTTGTATTACGCTGCTGTCAAATCAGCATTTATTTAAGTTCCTGAAGTACTCTTTTTGGCAAACGTGCTTTTTCAGAGCTGTTGTAGGAAGACTCATTTTTCTGGATGCGTATGCCAGGGTCAGGGTTTGATCTGTAATACCTTATAGTGCAAATCGGTTTTTCTGCAGAGTTCTCAGGTAGAAACAAGAAGCCAAGGGTAAATATTGTGAAGATCTGTGGCAAATCATTCTACCTGGTGTAAAGGTGTTGGAATTTTTCACTTCATCCAGTTTTATGTTCTACTTAGAGTGAAGGATGAAATTATTATGGAAGAATTTGGTGGAGAGCATCAAATACAACTAAATAAGATACTGCTCTATATTTCCATTAGGTTTCTTTTTACTAACCTCAAACATCCAATTAGCAAAACCAAATTGAGCTAATAAACCAATATAAATGTGATATTTCTTTGATATGAGTTTGCAACTCTTGCTATATTGGTTGTCACCCTTTTGGGGTCTTTCCTGGCTTTTCCAGGACATCTGAAACTGATCAGCTAAAAACTAATGTTCCTTAAATCTGTTTTCTTATGCTGCAGTGTGATCTGCTCAGAGTTAACTGCAGGTTTGAAAAGGTGTAAGCTAAATGGAAATCTGAAATAGTGTTCAGCATTAAAATACATTAAAATAGTCTCCACCTTTTCCTTTCGTATACAGGAGCAGCAGAGAACTGTGGACAATTCTTCTGGGCAGATCAGCTTTAAGAGAACCAGTAAGTCCATGTCTCACTAAGGAGGTTTGCCCATCACTGAATGGACTGCATGGCCAGATGTATCACTTGTACATCTGGTTGAATATTAGTGAAAACATGTTTTGCTGCTTTTCCCTCTTCCTCGGTGCGATTTTTGTTGCTTTGTCTCCGCTACTTGTTCATTCTTCCACTCCTTGTTTGTAGCTGCTTCATGAACTACCTGGAAGGGTGTATGTGAAAAGGTGGTTCCCTTTCTGGAGCGGACACACAAGTGCTACTTTCTAGACTGGCTGCCCTGGGGTATTCATGAGTGGTACAGCCCGCTTCCTTATTTTCTGGGACGGAGCCCGTGCTTTCAAGAATTTGCCCAGAGGTTGGAAATCCAAATGTTTCTGAACCTAGTCCGTTGCCTCCTATTCCCTCTCCCTTCCTGTGATTAGGTGAGGCAGCGAGCTTTCTCATACAATACGCACCTTGAATCGGTCTGAATCATAGATGCTTGTCTTGTGTCTCTCTGTGGTGGTGGAATTTCTTTGCTTCACTTAAAATTAACAAATCTGATACTCAGCAGTGTACGCTGAGGAATCCGTTCAGTAACATTTTGTTCTTTTTTTAGGCTCAGATCGCTGCAGAATTGAACAAGCACTGGCAGAGATTGTTAGAGGGACTTTCATACTATAAACCGCCAAGGTATAGTAATTGCCTGATTTTAGAAATTAACCACTAAAATGGGGTCTCTTAGTAAGCAGGGGAGCATGTTGAGTATTTCTCTCTGATCACATACAAATAGATTTTTACCCTCTTGCGTGACTTGAGATTTCAGAAGAGGAATAGTAAGAAAAAGTACTTAATCCACATAGCATTTCGGGGTGTGAAATACAGACCAGAAAGAATTAACAGCAGTTTCTGCTGTCATTACTTACATGAGGTAGCTCTTAACCCTTGCCTCTGCTGAGCTCAGTGATCATGTGCAGGTGTGTACCCTGTGGAGAAGTGATTTCTCTCGACACTCAGGTCATCTCAGAAAGATAATGCAGATTCCCTCATTGGAGAAGGTGGAATGAATATAGCCCACATTTATTATAGTAATAATCGTGAACAATGTTAAATTTTGTCTGGTGGGAAGACTACACAATATTGTATGAAATACTGGAATGCCATTGAAGAAAATGCAAATATTCTGTTCAAACTGAAAACTTTGAAATTAAGCCTCTTTAGTTCATTCTTTGGGATTGCTGCATTTTTCATGACTAAAATTTCTTTTTTCTTTAGTACAACTTCCGCAGAAAAAATAAAAGCTGATAAAGATGTAGCTGCTCCACTAAAAGAGTTGGGTCTGAGGGTCAGCAAGTTTTTGGTGAGTGAAGGTGCTATTCTGGTTATTTTTTATCCCTGCAATTGGAATGCATTGTTATTGGGATTCTGTTATTTAAGTAAACTTCTTGATGTTGAATGGAAACTTAAATTCTTTTCAGTTCAAAGTAGTCTAAAGGATGTTAGAAATTTATGTTGGGGCTCTAGGTGTAAATTTTTAAAAGTGATCAGTGACCTTGGGGTATTGTGGTTTCTCTGGTTAACACCCCCTCCTGCTGCAAAGGGCCCTACTTTCCTGAAAGTCACCCGCTTTTGCTCTTTCTTGGGTTCTTTCAAGACATCTGAAACTGCTCAGGTAGAAAACGATGTCCTTTAGATCAGTTGCCATATTAGAAAATACTGTCAGTTTACATGCAGAGTTATGTTCCTTCAAGCCAGAAGCTGGAATTCAGTGACTGGTGGCAGTACTTTTTTTTAAAATCACTGTTATATTTCATTTGCTGAAGTTAAACTGGCTACATCTGAGCAACATCAAAGCTCACGTATTTTGCTTTAAACACAAGTGCTGACTAAATCAAGCATGTGTCTGATGAAAAAAAAAATTTCTTTTGGCATGTTATGAAAGGTATTTTACTTTGAGGAGAAGAGCTCCCTGAATATTTGGAGAGAATCTTCATCTTTAATGAATTCAGTTGCCTTTTATTCATTTCAGAGCATCTCTTTTTTTTCAGGGTCTGGATGAAGAACAAAGCGTGCAGTTGTTACAGTGTTATCTTCAAGAGGATTACAGAGGAACAAGGGACTCCCTCAAGGTCCATAGCTCCTATTTACATTCTGTTTACTCCACATCTTTCCTTAATGCTGGTAGTTTCTTGATGCAGATGGTCACATGTGAGTCTGAGTTCTGATTTGGAAACGGGTTTGTAGCTTTTCTTCTCTGAACCTACAATGCTCAGGTGCTGCTGTAAGGGAATGTGATAGCAGATACCCAGGCCTAACTTCCTAGTCCCTCTTCCTGCTTGAGTCTCTCTCCAAGGATTCAGCTCCTCTCTCTGTTGCAGGAGTACAGGAAAGTTAGAGATTTCTGAAGGAAAGTGAGTGGGGATGAAGAACAAATACGTAGTTACAAATGAGTACTGGCTTTGTACTTTTGGAATCTGTCTTTCCAAAAGAAATAGGAAGAAAAATTGTCTTTTATTTATTTCAGTCTTTTTTTTTGTATGTATTTCTGCAGTAGATAATTTTTTATTTTGTTGTGTTTTGCTTACAGACAATTCTTCAGGATGAAAGGCAGAGTCAGGCTCTGATGCTGAAGGTTAGTAATTTCCATTTGTATTTTCTGTTGAAAAGATCTGTTGACAGACAACTGACTTTTATTTCTATGGATCCAGAAAATCTTGGAATAATTGAAGTATTCCTTCATATAAAGAACAGATTTTAGAAGATGTTTCTGAAAAAGAGGGATGTGCCTAAAGATTTGAACAGTGTTAGTAGTTGCTACAGAAAGGAAATTTTAGGCTTAATATTGGGGAATTTAGTTGGGCATATGCACACTTCTGTTTCCTGTGGTTTATATGTTATTGTCTGAAGTGACAACTCTGAAACGGAGAGGGGTGATCATACCTGACAGAGGATAGTAGGGATGAGGAAGGAGAGATCATCTCTGTCTGTCTTTTTGCCCTCCTTTTCCAAGTTTTCTAACTTAGCAGTGTAATTATAGACATGTCCCTATGGGGACATTTTATTGAGTTCTGCAAAGTTAATTAAGTTGGGTGGGTGGTTTTTTTTTTTTCCATATAGCTTATAAACTGCTTAGTTGAAACTCTGTCTGTGGTAATGTTTGAGCACTGTATATTGTGCTGAAGGCCTTGGCAGTATATGGGAGAGGAAAGCATGTGGGGGTTGGACACTATAGGAGGCTGACCTCAATGTGTGCATTCACAGCTTGCTGACTATTACTATAGAGGAAAGCATGTGGGGGTTGGACACTATAGGAGGCTGATCTCAATGACCCTGTGCATTCACAGCTTGCTGACTATTACTATGAAGAGAGGATCTGCATTCTGCGCTGCGTCCTCCATCTACTCACTTATTTTCAGGATGAGAGACACCCTTACACAGTGAGTACAGAACCTTTTACTGGCCACGATGTCATTGAAATAGGGTAGATATATAAGTTGTGTAGTAATTATCCACTTGTGATTGTAAACAGCCTGTGAGTGTGCATGTGAGACCTCTATTTATTCTATTTCAGGCACAATACTTCCAGTGTGTTGAAAAGTTGGACAAGGAACTAGTTCCCAATTACCGGAAGCAGTTTGAAGCACTGTACAAAGCAGAAGCTCCTACGTGGGAAACACATGGAAATCTCATGGTATTGTGTTTCTTGCTGTTATTTATCAAACTTATAAAGTCTTTCGTTTATGTAGTGTATTGGAAAATGGGTATGTGCAGAGGTAGTAAAAAAGGATGTTTCTGCTGGTCCAAGAAACCCAAAATTTCTTTTCTCTCTAAAAGAATACTTTTGCTTAGAAACAGAGAGAGTTGCATGAAACATATTGTTCCTTGTAATGAATCCATTGGTAGCCCTAGGCTAACGGATCCATTTGAGTGTAGTTTATTAATAAACTGAAAGAATACTTTTGTTTAGAAACAGAGAAACATATTGTTCCTTGTAATGAATCCGTTGGTAGCCCTAGGCTAACAGATCCATTTGAGTGTAGTTTATTAATAAACTCTCTGCATCAGCACACTCTGTATTTGTAGTGGATTTCCTTGCTATTGATACAAACCACTGGCTACACGAGCTGTTGAAATGCTTCAACACTTAGTTTCTAACTGCTTTGACTGACCTGTGGGCTTCACCATGTGATGGTAGAACTTTTCCTTGTGCAGACAGAACGTCAGGTTTCCCGTTGGTTTGTGCAATGTCTCCGTGAACAGTCCATGCTCCTGGAAGTCATCTTTCTCTACTATGCCTACTTTGAGATGGCACCTGATGAGCTTCTGGCATTTGCAAAGATGTTCAAAGAACAGGGATTTGGCACTAGACAAACCAACAGACATTTGGTAGACGAGAGCATGGATCACCTGGTGGATCGTATTGGGTAAGTGTCATGTGTATTTGTGAAGTGAGTACAGAGCAAAACTATTGTTTTCCTCAAGAAAAAAGCATTTTTAATTCTTGCTGCTGCCTATTAAAATCACCAGTATTTCAAGCTAAGCTTATTGTGATGATGGCAAAAGAGCTTTTCTGGTCACATGGGAGGTTTGTGGCAAAATGAGGGTGTGATTGCAAAATTGAGAGGTATCCATATGCTAGCTTTAATCTACTATATAATCTTGCCTCTGGTAAGAATGGCAGTGAAGACGTTGTGCTGCTCCTCCTTAGATGTTCTGGTGGTGAAGTGAAATTGCATCTTCCCAGCCCTGTGGTGTGGCTGGTACCTGCATGGAGGCCAGCGGTCCCTCTCTGACCTGGAGGTCTTGCCTCCGCTTGAGCTATTGTGGGTCTGCTTAGAAATAACAGTAATGTCTTCATTTTGCTGCATGGGACATCACTCGAGCTGCAGCCAGGGGGAATGAAAATCCTGCCAGGTGGTAGAGAGTTACAAAGGTGAAAAAGTTACCTTCAAATTTCAGTGACCTTTTTTTGTCTGTTCAACCAGAAATGGGAGTTACGAAGACTGTAATCTGTCATATACTAGCATTTAAAGACAAAATTTGGATTGCCTGCTCTTAATTTCATGTAATTTCTTAGTGCTTCAGAGAAGAGCTGAACAAAAGCAAACTAAATGTTGGTTTTTGACCACTTATAATTAAAAAAAACCCCAACCTGAATTCTTAAATAAAGTTTCTGACCTACTTGTTTTCATTCTTTTCCTACTTGCAGCTACTTTAGTGCTCTTATTCTGGTGGAAGGCATGGAAATCGACTCCCTCCATGAGCGTGCTTTGGATGACAGGACGGAGGAGCACAAGTTAGCCAACAGTGAGCGCATCCACCAGGTAGAGCACTGGCAGAATAACCCCTTGTCGGGTCTAACAATGCAGAAGTTACTGTGATTACCCAAGCAGAGATGTTAATAGGTTATGTCTGCAAGTTTCTGATCCTTGACTTTGTTGACCAAGTGTAGGAACTAGCATCCACACAACATTCTGAGGCAAATAAGAATGAAATTAATTCTTCTTCTTATATTTCCTTGGTTATCCTGGAACTTTCTCTAAAGAAAGATGTGTGCAAAGAAATAGTCATTGTGAAGTTTCCAGAAGGGAATGAAAGAAAAGATTTCTGGTGTCAGTGCTTTTAAGACAGAGAACATCTGGGGTTAGACCAACTAGTCAGTAAACCATGCAGAACAACAGACCAAGGATAATTCTTCTTATATTTCCTTGGTTATCCTGGAACTTTCTCTAAAGAAAGATGTGTGCAAAGAAATAGTCATTGTGAAGTTTCCAGAAGGGAATGAAAGAAAAGATTTCTGGTGTCAGTGCTTTTAAGACAGAGAACATCTGGGGTTAGACCAACTAGTCAGTAAACCATGCAGAACAACAGACCAAGGCTGCAGGTATATGATTTATTCAGTTGTGTGTTCGAAATAATTATCTACAAGGGAAAGGCGACTGTTAGCGAGAAGACACAACCAGCTCTGTGCTTGCTGAGTATGAACTTCTTTCAGAAGATCTCAACTATTTTGCTTTTGTCTTGTTCTCTGTGCAGGAGATGGACAATCAGCTGCTGCAGTTGGGGGATGTCTCACATCATGCTCCGGTGCTTTTGGCCTGGGCTCTGCTCCGTCACACTGTAAACCCAGACGAGTCCGCAAACGTCATCAGGAGAATGGGCAGCACTGCCATCCAGCTGAATGTATTCCAGTATCTGACAAAGCTGCTGCGGTCGCTGAGCAGTGGGGGGAAGAATGTGAGTGTCTTATAATCATATATGTAAGCTCTTGAAGGTTTTTAACTGCTGCCGATGTAAAGGTATGATGGGAAGTAGATGACTTTCGACGAATGTTCTTTCAAGCTAAATCTGGTTTTAAGCAGAGTATGCTGTAAAGCATGTTTTATCATCTTACCTTTTTTCAGCGAAGATCAGAAATCAAGTTGAAATGAAACAGATTTTTATGTCCAAAGAATAATAAAAAAAGCTTTTGTAAGTTGAGGAACTACATCTCTTTTGAGCAGAATAGACTGCATTTAATCACATTTATTGATTTGCCTCCATAAGCGTAGTTGCCATTGTGGATCTTGAGAACTGGATGATTTATCTCTGCCCTATTCTTCATATATGGTTTCATTAGACAATACTGTGTACAATAGATCATTGTGGATCTTGAGTACTGGACAATTTAACTCTGGCCTATTCTTCGTATATGGTTTCATTAGACAATACTGTGTACAAGAGTAAACTACTTTGTAGGCAGAAACCAGTGAAAGCAAATGCTTTTGATTTCTGTGAATGCTGAGTGCTTCTTTTCTTGTTGTTTGGAAGGCAGTTCTAATGATAATGGTAGTGGCAAAAATTCTCATTTTGATGAAATGTGTGATGCTAATGTGGAGCTTAACTAATGACTGCCTCCTGTTTCACTGCCTCTCTGCTGACTGCAGCAAGGATGGATGGAAAAGGCAGTTACTCAGTTTTAAAGCAGACTGAGTACAGTTACAGTGTGTTCTGTAATCCATCGTCTTTCCTATAATGGCTTTGTGTATTCTTTCTTCCCAGTGTACTGCCAGCACAGCTTGTATGTGTATTTATGGACTTCTTTCCTTTGTCCTGACGTCACTGGAACTACATACATTGGGCAATCAGCAGGTAAGCATCTGAGGTGTCTGTTACCTAATTTTCTGTTACCTAATTTAAAGTAACCTGTCATAACTGGTGTTAATTGCCTTTGTTAAATTGTAATCTTGCATTTGAGACTGCAAACTATATGTGACTTAGATAGATCTGAAAGAGTGATTTGCTCTTTTCCCTACTGCATTTACATAATTCAAATTTAGCAAAAACCTCTGCAAACTGGCTGATTAATAATGAAAGATCATATCTTGCACTTGAAGTCCTATGGATTTGAAACTAATTGCTGATGCATCCAAAGCAATGAAAATAATACATACTCCATTTACAAGTTTGAGAAGATATTATGTAGCTCTTTGCAGATATATTTGTCCTGGCCAGTCCAGTCATGATAAGGAACACGGCTTTAGGCTGGCTGTGTGTTCTGGGTTTGGGTGTGTTGGGTGTTTCTGTTGTGACTAGAGGAGGTAGTTACATCTTGGCTGGTAGACATGGAAACTTAAATTCCAAATATGTGGCAGAACTTGGTTGGGATGAAATCACCTTGTGTAAAGTAACTTTGATTCTCTCTGACCTCTCATCCTGTGAAGGATATAATTGATGCTGCATGTGAAGTTCTGGCAGCTTCCAGCATTCCTCAGCTCTTCTGGAAGACGGTGAGTGTATTGGCAACTTCTTTGACCTACCTTGCTCATAACTAAAACCTGATAAAACATCCCCTTTTAGGAAAGGAACAGACTAGTTGTATTTATTAGTTGGTTTCTAGGAGGGTCTGAGGAGCTAGTGTTTGTTTGTATCTATCTTTGATTTATTTTTGCCCTTTCCTGCCTTTTAGGTACAGCCTTGGCTTTACTCTTGAAGGATACTGGAACAAGTTTTAATATAGGTGATAGTTTAAACCAGGGCTGGGGTTGCAAGGATTGAACTAACTGCTGGCAAAAGCATTGTGCTTCTTTTTCTGTTGTCACAGAATTAGGATGATATGTAATGCATTATAGTCTTGGTTCCTGCCTTATACTTGCACACTGCCTCATGCTTTAGTCTGTGCAAGGACTGGAGTGATACTTTTGTGCATGATTAATGCTAAATGTACAACTTAAAAAGGAACTGTATCCTTGTGCTATACTTCAGCATTTCTTTTTAGTAATATGTTTGTTTTCTTTTTTCACCACCAGGAACCTACTGCGGGTCTGGGTATTATCCTGGACAGTGTGTGTGGGATGTTCCCCCATCTTCTTACTCCTCTCCTTCAGCTGCTCCAAGCCCTTGTGTCTGATAAATCTACTGCAAAAAAGGTAGGGGATCTCTCTTGGTGTTTGGGAGATGTTTTATTTTAAGATGGGAATAGTGTGCTACGTGATAGTGCTGCGTGATTCTTTCTGTCATTACGTGTGCTTATCTCCATTGCAATCTTAGATAACAGACATTAAGCTTTTGCCAAAGAACAGTGGACAGGGCTCCTTTTTAGTCCTGTGCTGTTGCAGGACACTGTTTTGTGTCAGTTTTCTTTTAGAAAACTTTTAAACTCTAATGGCTGAAGATTAAGATACTGCCTAATTTTTCAGGTTGTACTTTACTCATAAGAAGTAAAGTACATTCATTAAATGATACTTGTCTGGACATGTGGGCTGTCTAATAATGTTTTGGTAGGGTTGGTGTATTAGAAGGATATTGTCCACGTCAAGAAAACTTGCCTATTCCTGGAAATGACAGGTTGATTAATTTTTAAGAAGGTCTGGCTGTTTGGATGTATTGTTTAAGCTTTCTCTGTCTGCAGGTATACAGTTTCCTGGATAAAATGTCCTTCTATATTGAACTGTACAAGCATAAACCTCCTGATGTGATCTCTCATGAAGATGGCACACTTTGGCGAAGACAGGCTCCAAAGCTCCTCTATCCTCTTGGTAAGGAAACTGCACTTGAGCTTTTCTTCTTGAAATGCTTTGAAGTGCTTTGAATTTAGTTCTTTATTTGCCTTCTAACTCATGGGTAAATTTGTGACTTCATTTCACCTGCTTCTTCACTTTTTAGGACTAGGTCAAACAAATCTGCGGATACCTCAGGGAACAGTGGGCCAAGTGATGCTGGATGACCAGGCTTATTTGGTACGATGGGAGTATTCCTACAGCAGCTGGACACTGTTTACCTGTGAGATTGAGATGCTGCTCCATGTTGTTTCGACAGCAGGTGAGATAGGCTGGGAGTATAAAAGAAAATAAATGATTGTTAATCGCTATCGGTTTGAGGTTACTAGTAGGATTGAACAGTTCTGAATACTTTTGAAAGAGCATGGAATACTTTCCAAGAAACCTATTCTTTAAATTATTATAGTACTGTGAAATTCCCTGCAAAAGGCCAAGAGCATATAGTGAGATGAGATAAATTTTAGATGAGGAAAAAGTTGAGATAGATGAGATAAATGTGTTTTGGTATGGGGAATGATGTGTGCTAAGATTAATGTGTGTTGTTCCAGATTCGATTACTGCTTAAGTATGATTTTGCATTCTTGTGTTAATTTTCTTTACCCAGATGTGATTCAACATTGCCAGAGGGTCAAGCCAATAATTGATCTGGTTCATAAAGTCATCAGCACTGATGTATCGATAGCAGATTGCCTTCTGCCGATCACCTCACGAATCTACATGCTCCTGCAGAGGTAAGTCCCTGACCAGCATGAAGTCACTAATACCAGGGGTACCTGAGAAGATATAATGAGCGGAAGAATGGCTAATTAATAATTTTGCCAAGACCTTTGCAAGAAGTGTCTCTCAGTGTTTGAACTCCCTGAGACTGGTGTTCAGTTCTCAAGACTCTTCTGGCTACACACATTAATGCTTTGATGCAGCAGGATGGCCCCTCTTCCACTTCTTTCCTGAATGTTGTGCAATTGTATCCATTTAAAGGCATTTTTTTGTTGGTAGCTATAATTACATGAAAGAAGAATAAAAGATATTAGAGCAGTAGCTTCCAGGTGTTAAAACAGTTGTGCTTATTAACTCTCCTCTCAGTGTTAAGTGCCTGGGAATTGATGTTCTGCTGCATAATTATCGTTCGCTGTGACAGTCTGCTGTCTTGCCAGCTCTGTCTCTTGCAGTAAATTGATCTGACTCAGGTGTGAGGGGGAGGTGGCAAGTCTAGACTGAAAGTGCAGACTCTGGTGTCTGTATTTGGGTTGGGTATACCTGGTTGGGTATACTTGTGAATAATTTATACTTGCGCACTTCAGCAAGAGAGAAGGATTTTTTTTTTTATCAAAACAACAGTGTATGGGATAGACCACAGATGGCAGTGCTTTTTATGAATAATATTTCTTTTTCCTAGGCTAACAACTGTAATCTCCCCCCCTGTGGATGTTATTGCTTCTTGTGTCAATTGTTTGACAGTGCTGGCTGCTCGGATGCCAGCCAAGGTGAGGAAATAACCTTCTGGATTTGCTGGGTTTGAGAACTAGTAGATGTGTATACATGAATGAGAGGGAATATCTTTACTTTTTATCTTGCAGGTTTGGACTGACCTTCACCATACGGGGTTCTTACCATTTGTTGCCAATCCAGTGTCCAGTATGAATCACATGATTAGGTATTGCTGATCCCCCAGTCTTTCGTGTTTTTTTTTTTCTAACCTATTCATAACCTGTCCTAAGAACTTTTTGCCAGTGTGAAACCTATGCATCTGGCAGCTCTCACTCATGCCAGAATCCTGCTATTCGTGTAACAAACCCTCTTCCTCCTTTTACAGTGCAGAGGGAATGAATGCTGGGGGCTATGGAAACCTGTTGATGAGCATAGAACAGCCTCAAGGCGAGTACAGTGTTACTGTCTCCTTCCTGAACCTGATCACGACTCTCGTCCGGGTGAGTGCTTTTGGAATGCTCTGCAAGTGGAGACAGCTGTAGGCTGTTATGATAGGAAAGTGAAATACAGCTGTGTCTGAGACCCCTGTGCATCAAACAGGTCTCTATGAATAATTGTTGGTTGACACTCCCTTCTGTGCTACTGTTTGTGCTTTCTCTGTAGTCTGATTTACTCAAAGAGCTGTTTTGATTTATCTGATCTACAAAAGAATAGAAGTTGCTTGTAAATCTATGTCCCCATGCTCGATAGTTTGCTCACGCTTTAAAGACATATAACATATCTTCTTACAAAAGGTTTCTTGCCCTTTTAATCAGAAGGGGAACAATAACATTTGTGTTTCTCCCAGGGGCAACTTGGTAGCACCCAGAGCCAAGGACTAGTGCCTTGCATTGTGTTTGTCCTGAAGGAGATGTTACCAAATTATCACAAATGGCGTTACAACTCTCATGGAGTGAGAGAGAAAATTGGTAAGGATGCTGGGGGTGAGAAGGAGGAGGAGGGGATAAAAAGGATCATCTGTCTTTGCAGAGAGGATGTGTGAATTTTTACTCCCTTTTTTATCATGCCTTTTCTAGCTACCATATGGGATTTGATTTGTATGTATTGCTAGATGCTGTGATTTGTCTGAAAATATTAGGAACTAGGCAACATATCTTCCTGAAAACTGAATAATCCATTTCATCTCTGTTTCAGGATGCCTTATCCTGCAGTTGATCCATGCTATACTGAATTTATGCCCTGAAATGGATCCTCGCAGCAGGTAAGACAGGTGGTGGATTTCAGCTCTGCCCTAGCCTGGCTAGTTGCTATTTTTTGTTTCAGTTTTTGAGTGTATATGACTAGGAATGAACTGGGGTGGTTGTGCTGTGCTGGTTCCAGCTCTTTTCAGTGTTACTGATTACACGAAGCGTGGAAGAGGATTAGGGACATTTTTTTTTTTTAGAACAGCTGGTGAAGAAAGAGAAACCAGTTAAATAGATTTCCTGGGACATACAGCCATCCACTTTCCTATTCAGTGCATCCACTCTGAAGAAGGTAGAAGGGAGAATAAAGCAGGGGTCAGGGGGGTTGTAGAAATGAAGAGATTATTTTGTGGTGGTTTTTTAAGTGTTAGGTGGGAAAATCCTGCAAGTGCTCCTAGTGATGATGTCCTGTGTTTGTGTCTCCCAGCAATGCCCCCAGCCTCCAGTCCCTGTGCATCTTCAGCCTGGCCAACACCGAAGCAGGACAAGCTGTCATTAACATCATGGGAATTGGTGTGGACACTATCGATATGGTAATGGCCTCCCAGTCTAGCAGGTGAGTTGTGTGGTTCATTTCAGTGGTGTGAGGAAAGAAGCAAATGATAATTTTTAAACTTAACTGTAGTTGATTGCATTTAAGAGGGAGTCAGCTCAGCAGCTTGCCATGGCAGCTGCCTTGGATGGTCTGGAGGAACAAGCCTTGTTTGTTCCAGGTCTGTACGTAGTCTTTGCTGTACAGTATCCATTTCATGCAGTTGTTTCAGTTTTATATTTCTAAATGACATTTGGAGCATGCCAGTGGGTGTAAATGTGTTCAATTGTTTAACATTTGCTAGCAGTTACATATTTTTTTTAAATTAAAAATTCACTTGAATGCAATTTATATGTTTGAGTGAGTGAATTGGAAGCGAGATTAGAGCCAATGTTACAAGTTCTGTGTCTTCAAGTAACATCAGAGTTCCAGTGAAATTATGCTCATTAATAAATTGTAATAAAGCTTGAACTCTAATTTTGGAAGTACTAGGGGGATGATCAGTCTTTTCAGGGTGGTTCTGAAAGCAGGTTATTATCTGGAAGTATTAAAGATGTCTGCAGTGTTGGAAGTACTCTGGAAGTATTAAAGATGTCTGCAGTGTTGAGTGCCTTAAATTCCTTATACAGCTTTCACCGAGGCTTGAATCTTTTGCTGTAGCTGTGGTTGAATCTCTCTCCTTTCCTCTGTTCTCTTTGCCTGGCCAACCTGACTTGACACACCCAGCCAAACTAGCTAGCAGATTGTTCCTGAGAAAGTCTGCCAGTTTTTTCTTTCCAAACAAGTCTGGAAGGGAATCAAAACTTGTTAAGGAGAAAGTGAGACCTGTTTGAGAAACCTTTTTGGCTTCAATGTCTCTTCAGAATGTTTATCTGATAAGGAAAAATCTTAGGAAAATATCAGACTTAGAACCAGTTTTATCTCTTCATTCACTTTTGGTACGCTATAATTTCTGAGAGATTAATTCCATAAATGTTTCTCCCTTTGTTTTAGCACATTTTAAATCTCTGTATCCCAAAAAGGGGGGAAAAAAAAGTGACAATTGGCTGTAAGGCTATTTTTCTTTTTTGTTTGATGTTGAAAACTTGGAGCTGCATAGACAATATTTTTTGTGGATTTGGAGGGGGGTTTTATTTCAGCAGTTTTTATGTGGTGACATGTCAGTCTGAGTAAAAATGTCTTACAATCCCCAACTGACAGAGTACAGAATTTCATCTTTGGATGTTGTGCAAGTAATAAATGTCAGCCTTCAACATGGTTACTTTGGTTTCTTTTTGGAATCCCAGTGATGAGTCCCAAGGCCAAGGTCAACTGCTGATCCAAACAGTTAAGCTGGCATTCTCGGTTACCAATAATGTCATCCGGTTGAAACCCCCCTCCAGCGTGGTGTCTCCATTGGAACAGGCACTGACTCAGCATGGTACGTGTTTCTCCATGGGGGCAGCCTGGGAAGCTGGGTTTTTTTTTGGTTATTTGCAAATAATCAGTATGTGCCTCATTACAAAGAGCAGTTAAGATTTCAAGGTACCAAGAGGTGGTTTCTACTGATGGGAGGAGGCCTGTTCTCTGTTCTCTAAGGCATTCTGCCTTAGACAGCTGCTTAAGCATTAAGCAAACGTGGCTAATTGTTTGCTGCTTTGTGATGAGATGGGTCTAATTACAGAATACAATAAATCAGCTGCTATTAATACCTCTGGCTGGGCCCATGCCTTGTTATCCTGGAAGAATGACATAGTTCTCACCTTCTGCTATGGAAGTTATTATTTGGTGAATTTGTTTGTTGAAACAATGGAAAGTTATTTGGTAAATAGTTACATCTTGTTGTGGTTTCTTCTCTTTGATTTTAATTGTGTTCTCTCCAGGTGCTCATGGAAACAATCTTATTGCGGTCTTGGCCAAATACATCTACCACAAGCACGACCCTGCGCTCCCGCGCCTGGCCATCCAGTTGCTCAAACGACTGGCGACGGTAAGATGAGACACACACGTGCTCCTGTGCTTCTCCCCGTGTGACTGATTCCACCACTGAAGTCCTTTCAAGATCATTTCTTCAGACTTTTATTTTATATCAGGGAGCTTAATGCAAGTCAGCTGAAGGCAGTGTGGACTGAAAGCTGCAAGTTAGGGTACATTAAAAATCACTTAAAGGGGCCCTTAATTTTTGAACGTAAACTTCTGCTGTGTTGGAAGTCACTTACCATCTCACTGAGAGGCTTTACAGGAGTGGGGTGTTTTCTGCAAAGTATTTGCACATCTGGTTGATCTTTTTCCACTTCTTTCAGCAACTTTCTCAAGTCATACTCTTAAATACATCACCTTTGTAACTGGAACTTTTACATCTTACTGAGAATCCTGTTTAAGTATTTATTGGGAGCTTTCAACTTTGCCTTTTTGACTTACTCTTTTTGACTACTATACTTCTGAAAATGTATTTGCAGTTTCAGGGGAGATTTAGGTTAGATACTAGGAAGAAATTCTTTACAGTGAGGGTGGTGAGGCACTGGAACAGGTTGCCCAGAGAAGCTGTGGTTGCCCCATCACTGGAGGTGTTCAAGGCCAGGCTGGATGGCTATTTGAGCAACCTGGTCTAGTGGGAGGTGTCCCTGCCCATGGCAGGGGGGTTGGAACTAGATGATCTTTAAGGTCCCTTCCAACCCAAACCATTCTATGATTCTATGATTCAAGCATATAAATCCAGCTCTGGGTTTGTTTATTTCAAGAATCAGTATTCCAAACCTGTTTTTTTCTCTTTGTCTTTTCCAGTTTTGTCATAACCCTTGAGAAATAAGGGGTTGAGAAAGAGGTGAGGGATAGAGTGGAATTGCCAAAGAGGAAAATTTGC